TATCTCTATATCCATTATTTTAAAGCTTTATAGGATTATTCTTTCATTTGAAATATTGTCTTTTGTATCTTGTAAAGTTACTTAACACATGAAGTTACAAATTCTATTAATTGGTTTTAAGTCTTGGGTTCTAATAAGCCTTCCTTCAAGGAAAGTGTAACAGTAAAAGTCTAAAAATAAAACAGGAATTTTATGAGGAAAAAAAAAGAGAGGAAGGTGAGAGCAAGATTTTTTTTTTTAATTAGCAAATAAAAAATGAGAAGAGTGGACTTACTATTAATTTGTAATTATACACCCGCTTTTCCCTTGCCAGCATCAATATTTACTTTTCTCCTCATCGTGATTGAAAAGGAATGACTTGGGCTAAACATATGAAATTGTTTTTCTCATTCCTTGATATCATTTTATTAACTATCAAAGCAGCCCACATACTCTTAGTGAAATGGACAAACCTGTGTCTCACTGACATAAACTGAATATTAACTACTGAGAAGATGGAGTCGCATTTTCAGATCCACTTAAGAAATCTCTAGCCTCATCCCTGGTCTCAGGGAGAGGACAGTCCATGCACATCCTCTCTGAAGGTGGTGGAATTTCCTATTAGTCAGTCAAGTGGGGCCATACATCTGTGGACCCAATATCCCAGCACAGTGTGAGCCGACTCCTTCCTCAGCATGTGCAGTCTGCAACCCAAGCTTGTTAAAGGATCCGACCAAACCTGGGCTTTGAGAAGCAACTTGCAATCCAAGTCAGGGAAATGGATGAAGGATGTGTGATTGCCCAGAAAGATTCCACATCCCCTGCTCTTTTACCTCGATCTCTTTGTCTGGACTCTCTCATGTGGTTGGTCCCTTGAGATCATCGCGTTTACTCTTACCTTTTCTGTTTTTCCAGGCAAGGACTCTTGAAAGTTCCTCTGGCGCCCAGCAGGAACTTTGCATACCGTATTCATTGCTGTCCCTTTGTCCCCTCTTTTTAAATCCTTCTCCCCGTTTCACAACTGCAGACTCGGTCCAAGCAAACCATCTCCTCTGATGGTCATGCATCTTTCTAATGGACAGAATGAGTCTTCTGGCCTTGCTCCCTAGGCACCAAGTCTTGCTTTACTGTGTGGTTTATACAGACCGCACCCACCCTCTGCTGAGCCTTGAGAGGGTCAATTTGGCTTTTGCACAGGGCTCACCTTTGATCTGCAGACCCGAGGAAGGAAGTGGAGAAGGACCGCTCCTGCTACTGCTGCTGCTGTCTTGGCCTTTATTGATACGGGTCTTATGTCAGAAAGAGATCTGCCTTGTATTTCTCACCATGAGGGTATATAACTGCTCATGTTTACTGTTTGACTTCAAAGCTGTCCTGAGTGCTAATGCTTTAAGATCATTAAACAAAGGGTCAGTCTTAGCTTACTAACATCCTTTGTCAAATAAAGCAGAAAACGAGGGGATGAGTGGCTAGATGGATTTTCAACATTATCTTTACTAACTAAACATTGGCTGAATACCTACTGTAATGTTCTCTCTCTCATGCGCGCACACACACACACACACATACTCCCCTCGCTGATCCAATGCATCCTTCTTCAGAACTGTCCTAAATCTAGCCCCCACTCTGTCTTGGCATTCTCACCTCGTCCAGAAATCCCTCACGTTGCCTGTACTTTTCACCACAGCCTGATTAATCTCACTTACTCCTTCATGCCATCTCATCTTCTCTGCCGTGGCCAGGATAACCGTTCTAAAACAGAAGACCAACCATGTCACTCTCCTGCCTCACAGCTGCCACTGACTGACTTGCTACAAGATAAAATTCGAACTCCTTGGCCTGGCTTACTCAGCTGCTCCGTCTTCAGTCACAGTGTCCACCCCAGTCTCTTTTTTCCCTCTTTTCATCTCTTCCATGCACTCTACGTTGCCAACAATATAGACATTTTGCTGGGAAAGACAGAGGTGATTTCAAAACACCGTTTGTTAGCTTTGTGAAAATGGGTCTAAAGTCACTCATTCTTTCTGAACCTCACTTTTTTCCTCAGTCAAAGGGAAATTGTTTGTAAAAGGTAAAGGTTGTAAAGATGTAAAGTATAATGTCAGCAGTTATCCAGCTCAGAGCTAGTTTCCATCTATGCCTTTCCGTCATCCCCTCTACCTGAGGTCTCTCTCTTTATGTGACAAACTCCTGTTCAGATTCAGGTCACCAGGCATTTTCTCTATGTATGTTTTTCTGCCTTCCCCAGACTGAGTTAGACATTTTCTGCTTTGGGCTCCCACAATAACTTGTGGTATTTGTTATATCATGATATGACAAGATATTATTATAAGATCCTTTACAAAAAAAGAATGTCTTTTTTTAAACTCTGTATCTTAGCTAAGCATGTAATACAGCCTCAAAAAACATGTGTGAACATGTGAATGAATATATGAAAGCATTATGTTGGGTTCTGCAGTCCAGTTCTTGAAGAATTCATAATCTTCAAGGGTGTAGAAACATCCACTCAAATAAGCATAATGTGAACCTGACTGGAAGTAAGGCCTAGTTGAGTGAAAATTAAGTGTAAAGGCAGTTGGCCATTCTACCTGAAAACAAAAGCCATTCCTATTTGAACTGAGTCCTAAAGCATCCATGTGGAGTTAACTTTCCATTTTGCTTAATCTGCCCATTCGTTTATTATGTTCACTTCTCTCATACCCCATAGAACCCTAAATTTTGGTGGCAGAGAGCTAGAGAATTCTTAAACTTCGGTCAGCAGTTCTCAGGAAATGTTGTAAAAGAACATATAAAAAGTTTTTCATAGTGCAATTTTGAGTGTAATTGTAATTTTGCTTATAAACCCTGAAGCCTGTAAATTACTGACAAATCGTATATCTTTGAAAATGAAAACAGACTACACCAAGAAGATAAAGGTTTGAAAACTATAGAGCCATAAAAATCTTATGTTTTCATTATATACCTACTGAGGAATAGATATGTTTTTTTAAGAGTCTTAGTAATTAGACTGCCCAAGTGAAATTGAAAAATGATGAAGCATGACATACCAATCTATTTTAATATGATGTATAGAATATTTCCTGCCCTGTTTTACAACATAGGAGGATGTTCAATAAAATTTTGAATATAGGATTTTTTAAAAGAAAGGATCTTTATAATATGATAAGCAATGAAAGTCTAGAAATGCTCAATGTTGAATCCAGTAGAGCATAACAATAATCATAAGTTAGAATTTTGTAGCATCTTCTATATCTATCAGCTTATGGTTCTGATTGAACAACTCTAATAAATATTGAAATATCTTCCTTCGTAGCACTGATTCCAAAATTAAATATCTCTGTTTTGTCTCCATTGTGTGGTCAGATTGCTTCCCTGATGAAAAACTATGTAGAATGTCCCAACAGTGATATTTGTGGCTACCATTTATTCAGTGTATATAATGTGCCAGACAATGGCTATATGATATTTTTTATTTGGAAGGTTCATTAGAAACTTAAGCTTACATTTTTAATTCTCTACATTACTAAAACTCAATTTATTTCATGCCATATAAATCAGAAACTTAGCAAGGTAAGGAAAAAAAAAAGGTACCTAAGTACTGCTTTGAGAATTCTCCTGTAGAACAAATTAAATATAGCTACTTAGAAAGATAGAAATTGCATTTAAAATGGCACAACCTGCAACACAAGAGAAAGTCCACTTCTATATGAGCCAAGAACAGTTACTAGGAAGAAAATTTGGTCATCTTCATTTTACTCACATCCCATGTACAGAATTCCTAAGAACTCTGGTTTCCAAGGGCTTCCCTGGTGTCTCAGATGGTAAAGAATCCACCTGCAAGACAGGAGACCCGGGTTTGATCCCTGGGTCGGGAAGACCTCGTGGAGAAGGAAATGGCTATCCATTCCTGTATTCTTGCCTGGAGAATTCCGTGGACAGAGGAGCCTGGTGGGCTACAGTCCATGGGGTCACAAAGAGTCAGACAGAACTGAGCGACTAACATACTTTGGTTTCTCAGATGTCACCTTCATGTGTTCAAATAGCAGAAGGGATTATGAGGGGACCTTCTTCCAGCTCTATCCAACTTCGGGAACTCACAGCAGGTTGTAAACAGAACTCTTGTGTCTGGTGCTATGACTCAACTTTCATACCTTGAAACTCAAAATGATCAATATTTAAGATACAATGCCATATATAACTCATTTGGACTAAGTGCCCCACCAAGCTTGATTGCATTTATTTCTACTTTTTTATGAATTAAACTATTTTCTCTTTTTTAACTTTTTCAGAGAAAAACTTTATCTTATGAAGAATTTGAAAGAATATAAAGACACTAATGACCTAACTTCAAAATTATCACCTCATGAGTCAATATTATTTCATGTCCCTCTCCTATTATTTATGGAAGATATCTACATGGTTCCAAAGTCAAATCTACAAAATTAATACTATTGGAGAAGTCTGACTTCTATCCCTGCCCACTCCCCATTTTCTTCTCTTTCCTCTATAGAAAACTATTTTTTTTAGATTATTGTTAAATCCTCCCTTTTTAAAATATAAGCAAAACATTTATATTTCAACTTCTCCTTTCTGAGATAAACACTGGTGATCTAGTGATTTTCAAAATATTTTAAAGTATTTGGAGCTTAAACTGACTGTTACAGTATAGCAAATGTTACAAGGCTAGCAGACTTTCAGGCCAAAAAGCAAGAAACATGGTAATTTGTATCTATTTCAAAAATAAATATTTATTTGAACACTTTATAACTTTAAGACCCCAATTTTGTGACCAAAAAGAGGAAGAGAAGGCAGTTAATTTTTATTCAAAGCCTGATATTTGGGGGGCGGGGAGCAATAAAGAGTTTGTCTGGAGATGTGTAAATAGATAGTAGTGTTAAAGATATGCTCATATAAGTGGAGTATCTTCCAAATGCATTCCTTCAGGAAACACATTAAGAGCAAGCCCTTCAGCAGAGTGGGATTTTATTCACAAACCCACTAAGTGATCTTCTTTCTCATAGATCGAATTGCACAGAACATCATTAAGTCCCATTTGGAGACATGTCAGTACACCATGGAGGAGCTACACCAGCTGGCCTGGCAGACCCATACCTATGAAGAAATTAAAGCGTATCAAAGCAAGGTATTCTGGGAAACGAAAGGGTTTTCTGTGATTTCTCTGTTTCTGACTTTTTCAGCCTCAGCCCTGTTGACATTTCATACTGGACAACTCTTTGCTGTAAGGACTGTCCTGCACATTGTAGGATGTTAAACACCATCTTTGGTCTCTACATATGAGATGTCAGTAGCATGCCCTCCCACGTAGTTGCGACAACCAGAATGTGTCCAGATATCATCACATCTGGAGGCAAAACTGCTCTGATTGAAAACCAGTGCCCTACTCACGTGACGGAGGAGACGGGGCCCACACTGGGTGACGTTAGGACCTCTCTCGGTGTCTTCTTTGGTCCAGGCAAGGAACGAGAGCAGCTGAAAATCATAGCAGTAATATCTGCGAACTTACTCTGGAAAAATATTAAACAATGCGTTCTGAATGTTTTCTTGCCTGACGTGTCAAAAAATGACCAGAGGAAAAAGGGAGAACTCATCCCATGTTATAACTGTTGTTTTTATTATAATTATTATTATTTTGATTATTTTGTGTCCATTAGAGAAGGTTTTAAGGGAAGGAATTTGTTGTTGTTGTTTTGACTCACATTATTTACAAGACTGAGATCCACAATCACAAAATCTACCAGTAAATTAACTTTTAATAAAATTTATAAATGTGTCTATATCTAAATATATGAGTATAACATACTGATTTTTCTCCAGTGGAACAATTAAATGTTACCACTTTTATATGAATAAGGAGACAAAAGCATAGGTATTATTACAGTCAATAAAAAATCAGAATTAACATACTTGGATTTCCAAAGAAAATAACCCAAGGATCAAAGTACATTTCTGGATTCTGTTGTACTTAAGAGAGTGATTTGATGTCTTTTCCACTGAAATTCTTTTTGTACCAAAAAGCAGTCTCCATAAGTTCTTGGAAAAGAACACAACATAAAAATATTGCAAACTTAGTGTCAGTCAGATACACATTGAAAATAATTTCGTGGAAGTCTGTGAATGAAATTGCTATTACTGAGTGTAAGAGTTTGATTTGACAAAACAGACTAAGAGCTTGAGTTTGTTTAGGTGAGGAGAGGAGGAGAAAAAACTATTAAAAAACCTGTAAATATCTATCTTTACTATTGCAATATTTCCATTGTTTTAGCTTCAGTACTTTGATAATTGTGGTGTATCAAGGTTCAAATAAACCAAAGCAACATCTTAGAAAATATCGCCTATCTTCTAAAGAGGGGTGAATTCCCACCGTGAACCCCAAGTGACAGATCAGCGCCAGTTAGAGCAACCTTGAGTGTTTCACTGAGTCTCCAAGTTGTTCTTGGCTCCATGTACATTCCGTGTTTCTCTCTTGAAGTCCAGGGAAGCACTGTGGCAGCAATGTGCCATCCAGATAACTCACGCCATCCAGTATGTGGTAGAGTTTGCAAAGCGAATAACAGGCTTCATGGAACTCTGTCAAAATGATCAAATCCTACTTCTTAAGTCAGGTAAGCAAGAAGATTCATTGCTGGGGGGAAGGGGGTCTATTTTAGACCAGGATGTGGTCCACCCTTAGCTGAGGTTGGTTCTAGAAAATCCTCCATCTGCTATGTAGTCATTTTTACCACCCACACTGTCAGCCAACTCCCAAAGGAAACACTCAGTAATAAAAATGCCCTGATACTCATTCAGCTCGCCTTTGAAGTCAAATACAATTTTGCTTATTGAAAGTGGAGCTATTAATTGCGGAGGTTGAGATACCCAGCTTGACAGGCAGTGCAAGTAATTAGCGTGTCAAGGTGGCTGAATTGCTGAGCTGGCTCTAAAATGTATGACTTGCCTTCTGTTGGGGGCTGGAATCCAGGCTAGCTGAGCTCTGCCTCTGTGGTCATTTCCAATCATTTTAATGAGGATGGCCTGCAGCAAGAATACACAGGGAGAAGCTCACTCTGCTCTAATCTTTCCTCCCCCCTCTCACACAGGCTCCCTGACACACGCACAGTCACTTGGGAAGAACCTCAGGAAACTGCAGAGGGTTCCCTTTGCAGGAAAACTGTCTACTTGTCTTTCTCGGCCCCCTTTGAAAATAGAAAATAAGAACCACTCTGGTGTTTACCTAAAGGGCTACAGCAAATAATAATAACATCCCTTTATATATGTAATAGCGCACATATACATGTGTATGTTTACCTATGACATCTTTTTTTCATCTCATGTGCTCAATACGGTTTCCATCTTATAAATGAGGAAGCAAAGATTTGAAGAACTGAAGGGCTGTGTTCAATAGCACATAGCCAGGACCTGGCAAAGCTGGCTTTTGAACTTGAGTCAGATAAATAATTATTCTAAGTTGTTGCTGCTTCTTTACCAAATGATTAAAAAGGTGCAAATCTTGACTCAAACATGGACTTGATGTATTTGTTGCTAGATTAAAAATCACCCCAAAACTTAGTTCAAACAACAATAATAGTTCGTCTTGCTCCCAAAGCTGATTTGAGCAGGGCTCAGCGAGGGATGGCTCGTCTCTGCTTGCTGTGGTGTTCACCAAGGCAATCAACTGAGGGCAAGAGGCCCCACTTCCACGCTGGCTCATGCACACGGCCGGCTGTTTGTGCCAGTTGCTAGCGTAGAGTTCACTCAAGGCTTTGGGCTGAAGGGCCTCGGTTCCTATCCATGTGAGCCCCTCCACAGACTGCTTGGACTTTCTCACAGCATGGTTGCTAGGTTTCAAAAGTTAGCATTTCAAGAGAGCAAGACAGAAGTGCATAGCATTTTTCTGACATTGCTTCCAAAGTCTCAGAGTGTTATTTCCACCTGACTAATAAGTCAAGGCAGTGATGAAACCCACCTTGGTTTAAGGGTAGGAGACATAGAATGTAAGGGGTCAAGTAAAGTACCTTCCATATTGGAGATACTGAATAAATGGTTCCTATGATTATTTTCATCAGAAAAGCATTATGTCCATTAATATTTGTGGATTCCCTATGTGTAAGCCCCTATGCTAAGGTGACATATGAGGGAAAGCAGAGAAATCAACAGAACAAAGAAATAAGACACCAGATTAAGAAAGGCACCAGGGGTACCTCGGGGTACCACATGGATGTAATCAAACCATCGGTGTGATGTTCTCATGCAAATGTGTGACTTCTGACTGTGGATGTCACTTCCAACCTATTGTGGGGCAAAAGCCCTTTTCTCCAAAATGTGGAGAAACCGTGCACTTGTTCCTCAGGATGTCAGTAAGTATTCAGAGGAACAAGCAGAAGTAGTGAACTAATTCATTTAATAAAGATTTATTAAGCAGCTACTATGTGCCAGGGACTTTTCTAGGTCCTGGAGATATAACAGTGAATAAAATAGGCCACAATTGCCTATGGTTACAGACAAGGGCCCTGCCACTACTGGACTAACAGCAAATTCAGAAACGTCAGGCCCGTCAAGGTTGAACAAACTGCTTCTTGATGGGATTTCAATAAACCTTTGATCTGTGAATGTTGGTTATAACTCCCTGGAGTGGATAATGCTCAGCATTTTGCCAAAATTTGTTTGACCTCTTTAAGAAACCCTTGTGTCAAAGACATGAATACATAAATGGTGCCCTCAGGAAACATCCTGAAGGTGTTCTTAAGTCATCATATGCAGAAATATAAACAGACTGTGTTAAAAACTGAAGGAGCTTGCAAGTTTTCCCAATACCAAAACTTCTACAAGAAGTTAACAGACTGAAGTTGCCTGCCACGAAACTTCTTTCTGGGCCAATTATCATCACCTGTAAATTTGAAACTAACTTTAATATTAGTAAAAGATGGGGCAGGGGGAGGGCGGAATACATTCTTCCAAAGAAAACATTGTTGCCCTCCATTTTAGTCACCTTTAACGTATGTTTTATCTTTCATTCCTCACATATGCATCAAGAGCTTTATTTCTAACATAGTTCTTTTTTCACTTGGGAAGGAATCTTGAGGTGTTTCTGAATGTGTATGTCTATGAGTCTGTGTGTGTTTTAAAGTTTTTTGATTCTCTTGACCTACATGCAGTAGTAAGGTCTTTATTGTGTATATATACATAAATTTTTTTTTTCCCATAGGTTGCTTGGAAGTGGTTTTAGTAAGAATGTGTCGTGCCTTCAACCCATTAAACAACACTGTTCTGTTTGAAGGAAAATATGGAGGAATGCAGATGTTCAAGGCCTTAGGTGAGTTCACCTTTGGTGATGACACAGTTTTATTAGCTACCATCAGTTTTATTGGCTACCACCAGTTCCTCCACTTAGATTATCACTGGTAAAAGAAATGTCCTGATTCTCTAATGAGAACTAGTATCTCATTATTCAACAAGGGTTTTACTAGGTGAGCCTCCAATGTTTCATCTAACTCCTTTGATTTTACAACTGTGCCCCCAAATATCAAAAGAAGGAAGGAAACATGGACCCTCTTGATACCAGCCATGCTTCATTCAGAAGTCAATGAAAACGGATTCTAAAGAACTGGGATGCATTCTAAGCATTCTTTATAGAATCAGGTTTTCTTTTACTTTCTAGCTTACTGCTTCACAGAGTATATCATATAGACCACTGGTGGTCCATGGGTGACCTCTTAAGTTTCTTATGCAAGTTTATAATCATGAACTAAGATGCTTAGAAGAGGAACTCTTCCACTTGTTTTGCACCCAGAGTCATGGTTCTCCCTGTTAATTCATGAAGTTCTGAGAGCACAAACAGCGTGGGCGCCAACTGGCCCTAAATGATCCGCAGACCATTCTTGTGGGAGGGCAGGATAGAGTCAGTCTCTGGAAGTGTGTCGCTCACTTCCCATCATCAGTGTACGGGGTGGATGAGAATGTTAGCAAAGATGGACTGATGCCAGGAAAGGTTTTATCTATTGACAGTGTCATTTGTTCCATATCCTGCCCACAGACATCAAAGAAGGCCACTGCCCTTTCACCTTCTGTGCTGTTAGCTGATATGGTAGCCAACAGCAAGTCCACCAGGGCTGGCCGTGTTTCCCTCCTGTAGCTGATACACATCCATGTCATCTCCAAAGCTAGGTTTTCAAGAAAGGAGGAAAGACATTGGCAAGCAACTCGGGTATATTTCCAGCTTCATAAAATAAACATTTACCAAGGATCATGTAGGGATGAAGCATTGTTTTCTGAGGATCCACAATGGCTAAGCACCTTACCTGCAAGTCGTTCATTAGAAGGTAAACAGGAATGAATATTTGCTCCTCAATTAAATTTCCAGGAAATTACAGGCACTTTATTGACAGGCACTTTATCTCCATTCTCTTAGTTTGAGGCCCATGGACATCTTACATCACCAGTGACATCCTATAAGTGCCACTCATCAGTTTTATTGGCTACCACCAGTTCCTCCACTTAGATTATCACTGGTAAAAGAAATGTCCTGATTCTCTAATGAGAACTAGTATCTCATTATTCAACAAGGGTTTTACTAGGTGAGCCTCCAATGTTTCATCTAACTCCTTTGATTTTACAACTGTGCCCCCAAATATCAAAAGAAGGAAGGAAACATGGACCCTCTTGATACCAGCCATGCTTCATTCAGAAGTCAATGAAAACGGATTCTAAAGAACTGGGATGCATTCTAAGCATTCTTTATAGAATCAGGTTTTCTTTTACTTTCTAGCTTACTGCTTCACAGAGTATATCATATAGACCACTGGTGGTCCATGGGTGACCTCTTAAGTTTCTTATGCAAGTTTATAATCATGAACTAAGATGCTTAGAAGAGGAACTCTTCCACTTGTTTTGCACCCAGAGTCATGGTTCTCCCTGTTAATTCATGAAGTTCTGAGAGCACAAACAGCGTGGGCGCCAACTGGCCCTAAATGATCCGCAGACCTTTCTTGTGGGAGGGCAGGATAGAGTCAGTCTCTGGAAGTGTGTCGCTCACTTCCCATCATCAGTGTACGGGGTGGATGAGAATGTTAGCAAAGATGGACTGATGCCAGGAAAGGTTTTATCTATTGACAGTGTCATTTGTTCCACATCCTGCCCACAGACATCAAAGAAGGCCACTGCCCTTTCACCTTCTGTGCTGTTAGCCGATATGGTAGCCAACAGCAAGTCCACCAGGGCTGGCCGTGTTTCCCTCCTGTAGCTGATACACATCCATGTCATCTCCAAAGCTAGGTTTTCAAGAAAGGAGGAAAGACATTGGCAAGCAACTCGGGTATATTTCCAGCTTCATAAAATAAACATTTACCAAGGATCATGTAGGGATGAAGCATTGTTTTCTGAGGATCCACAATGGCTAAGCACCTTACCTGCAAGTCGTTCATTAGAAGGTAAACAGGAATGAATATTTGCTCCTCAATTAAATTTCCAGGAAATTACAGGCACTTTATTGACAGGCACTTTATCTCCATTCTCTTAGTTTGAGGCCCATGGACATCTTACATCACCAGTGACATCCTATAAGTGCCACAAAAAATGACAGCCCTTGGCCCATTATACATAATATTTTAGGTTTTCTATGAATGCTATCTCTGTACTAAAGGATCCTCAAATCACGAATTTAAAATTTTTCAGTTGGAACTAATTTCAAATTGACAAGATTAGAGTGGGGTTATATAGTCCCAGTTGGATATTTCAATGGGTACACACTGTTTCTATCTGCCCCTTCATTGGTAATTTTGACTTTCATTACCTGGTCAAGACATTGCCCAATTTTCTTGTTCTACAATCATCACTGAATCACTTCTCAGGTTGTCCTGATGGTTCAGCAGGTGAAGAACCACCTGCAATGCAGGAGACCCAGGAGATGGGGGTTTGGCCCCTGGGTTGGGAAGATCCCCTGGAGAAGGGAATGGCTACCCACTTCAGTATTTTTGCCTGGAGAATTCCATGGACAGAGGTGGGTTCATGAGGCCCCAGAGTCAGACACAACTGAGTGGCCAAGCGCCCAGCAGCGCGCAGATCACTTCTCTGGTCAGGAACTTGGAAATATTTTTTCTCTGTGCTTAGTATGCAAGTCCTTGAATAATTTCTTGTTTATGGGACTTTTTCTTACTGCTACACCATTCTATTCAAGTATTTTCACTTGATTTGCCTTCTTTTATAGGTTCTGATGACTTAGTGAATGAAGCATTTGACTTTGCAAAGAATTTGTGTTCCTTGCAGCTGACTGAGGAAGAGATTGCTTTGTTTTCCTCTGCTGTTCTGATATCTCCAGGTAGGGAGGTCTGAGGTACTTACCATTAAAAAAAAAACAACAAAAAACCTGTTTTGCTATCTTTAACATGAATTGCACCTACCCAAGCCAAGGTTCGCTGGAGAAACTTTAAAAGAACTATCTTTTCTTTAGCAAGCTTGTGATATTTTTGGACAATTCAAAGAAAAGTACCCTCATGTTAATTTGAACGATCCATTGGTCTCAAGTGCAAGAGTAGCGTGTGTGGTAAGGTTGACTCCAGAGTCAGAAAAGCAGCATCATTTCTTAAGGGATAAATGAAGAAAAATAGTGGCCTGAGTTATAACTAAGTTCTATTTTGATTTTAAGAATAAAGGACACAGAAATAATGTCCAATAAGGTGAGACTTAGAAATATACCTGAATGAACAAGCCAGCATAGGGATTAAAAAAAGTAAAACCTATACTTTCTTTTCTTTAAGTATCTGTTTCACTGGCCTTTCTATCCAAGTTAATGTTAGCGTTCTTCCTTCAGGCAAATGCTGGTGCCTCTTTGTTGCTGTTTAAAGCAATATTAGAAGCTTTAAGGACGGCAGAGGTAAAAATGGCTCCTACTAAAGACTGGAAAAGGAAAGACCTCTGATGTGGTCATAGAGACTCTAGAACAGGTTCTATCACCAAATATCTGTGTGACCTTAAACACTTGACCCCTCAGAATCTCAGTTTCCTTACCTGCAAAGAGGGTTGAGTTTCATAACAATAAAGACCCAGTCTAGCTCTGAAATGCAATAAACAGCAGAAAGTTTTCAAAGCAGGTAAGGTGTGACATTTATACATCAAATAGCACTATAGTCACTGAAATTCTTTTTTAAAAGCATGTGCCAGCTTGAACCTGTATAGAATCCTAATAAATGCATGGTTCCTTCCTCAACCAGAATGAAAAGTCAGAGCTGCTCATTCAATCATCTGTTGGGTTAGATTTGAGGTCAAGGAATAGCAGTGTCATTAACAGTTCTCTATAGAAAGAAAGACACATTCCTGGTCATTTTTATGGTCAAGAGACTCATTCCTTCTATAACCCATTTATCTCTAGAGATTTGCTCTTTTCTCTTTTCTTACACCTAACACATTTTTCAGCAAGGCTGGAAGGAATTAATCTTCCTGGTGATGGGACTTGTTGACATATCACTACTAGCTATGTGTACCCACAATACAGCCTTTATACTTTGTATCTGGTAGACTTTATTTACTTATTTTTAAAATTTTTTAATGATTTTTTAAAATTTGATTCTGTTTTTTATTACTTTATCAAAAATGGAAGTTAGTTATCAATTGGCATGTTATTACTAACAGTTTCTTTTGTGGCTCTGTCTAAAATAAAGTTGTTCCTCCAAGCTTTTTTCTTTTTTTTTTTTTAACCCTAGAAGGTTTTCCAGACTCGGCAGCACAAAGATAAATGGAAGAAGTGACAAGAAAGATTTATTTCTGGTAGCAACTAAATGCCAAATAATTTTCCTCCTGCCATTTTCTCATTGCATTTGATTCTTCCCATCGATTATAGTTCAGTAGAAGATTAATTCTAAGCCTGCAAGTCTATGATGAGACAGGTGGTTTCACTCTGATTCCAGCTTCCTCAAAGGAAGCAATACAAATTCACTGTCCTCTTAGGTATGTGTGTGGCAAAATCAGTAAAGTCCCAGCAGCAAATATTTAAGACACAACATATCAAATCTAAACAATCCATGAAAATAATTGCCCCATTTGAAAAGCAAACATGCTTCTTATGAGTGAAAAATCAGCTGAACTATGAGCCTTTTTCTAGGAAGAATATGCTAAAGCCATCAAATTCCACAGAGTTTGGAAGTGAAGCATGAGGTTTAGCTTATTCTACCCTGTGAGGAATCTTCCAGCCCCGGTCACAGACCCACACTCAGGCTTCTAGAAGCAACTCCAAGACACCATGTTTGCCACCTTGGCATAGTGCCATATTCAAAGAGGAAAGACAATATTCCAGCCTGTGGAGGCTCCATCTCATGCCAGACCCACCCTTCCGCCCAGGTTCTTGCCATAATAGTTACTGTCTATTCAGCTCCGGATGGCTTGGGGAAGGGAGAAGCAGGGAAACTTAATGTATTCTGATTGACAATGGTCACTAAAGGTTTTTGTGCTCACTTACGTAAGCGTTTGCTTAACTGTTGGCTAGACTTGTCCTGGCCCTGTCTAGGATTACAGAATCGAGTTTCTCACCTGACCTGAACCGTGTTCAGAAGGATCATGTGAAGTTCTTTTCCATGAGTATTTGTTCAGCATTTGGACACTCTGGGTGTCTCTTCACTGAAGTTTCAACCTAAGGCATTGATGCTGGACTGAATTTTGTCACCATGGTATAAAGCATCTAGGAAGAAAGAAGAACGAAATGAAAGAACAAAGAAAGGGAGGGAGGAAAGAAAAAAGAAAGTAGGAAAGGCTAAAGGAAAGGAGGGATTATCCTAGCCATTACTTAAATATTCAATATAGAAACAGAGGACTCAGGATTAATTTTTATATTGATTCATGTTGATACTATATAAATTATAGCAGCTTATATAAAAGAAGGGAGATCCTGAATACCAAAAATGCTCCTTTACAATAGATTTTCTTCACTTCTATAATTCATTTCTTCACAAATCATTAACTTAAATTTGAAAGAAAATCTAAGCATATGTCCAGAGAGTGAGTAAGAGATGTAAACTGCAACAGACAGTAAGACACACGGAGTGTCTTTGAATCACTGTGTCTTTACCTCCACCCTGATTTCCTGCCAGCGTTTTGTACATTACTGTCCTCATGGCATTGCTTATAAACTATTCATTTTAGAAAAATAATTACATGTCTTCAGAAGCAATTTAGACTAATTTGAGTTAGGTCTAGATCTCAGCACTTACATGTGTAGGTGAAATACAACAAAACTTACATTCTGTCCCCTTCCTACCCACCCTTTTCCTTTCTCAGACCGAGCCTGGCTGATAGAACCAAGGAAGGTCCAGAAGCTTCAGGAAAAAATTTATTTTGCACTTCAACATGTGATTCAGAAGAATCACCTGGATGATGAGACCTTGGCGAAGGTAGGTCCTCAGAGCACAGACCCCCCTGTCACTGACAGAGCCCATTGAACAGAGGAGGGCTAGTCACATAAGGCAAGGAACATATCTCATCAGCAACAAGATCTGAAGGTTACCACGGGTGGCATAAACTGCGAGTGTGCATTTTAAAAGGGACACTAGGAAACTATAACGAGTTGAGAGGACAATAACTTCTTAGTCAAGGATGATATTGATGGGTCTGAACCCCAGATAGAGGAAGACACATTATAGGAACTGAGGGTGCTTATCTGAAGAACAAAAGCTTATCTGAAGAACAAAGGCGAGGAGACAAGTCTTCAAAAATCACATGTGAAGAAAGAGGACATTTTGTGCCACTTGGGAGTCTGGTCTAGACAAAAGAATGGCTAGATTTTTATTCAAAATAAGGAAGAACCATAAATTGATGAGAACTGCTGAACAGAAGGTAGACTACTGAGTGGAGTGAGGTCCCTGTCATCGGTCAGATTCTTAGAGATACCACCTTGTTTCTTTTCAGATATGTTGTTAATGACAGTCCTACCCAGAGGAGGAGATTAGACTGATGCCTTGTAAATTTTCCTTCAACTCGAATCTCCTCACTTCTAATCTGGGATTCTTTCAAAATGAAGTATCTCAAGGGCAGACTGCATGTACAAGCTTTCCATTTCATTCACAATTCAACTTAATTAAAAATAGTGATCCTTTAGAAGAATTCTGGAAGAAGTTATGTACCAACATAAAATGATCATAAGAGGAATAAGGAGTTTTCTAATGATATCTAGCATTATTTTAGATCCTAAGGTATCTTAAATTTCTTAAGAATTGGAATTTTTTTAGAGGTTAAGCAACTAAGAAGTAGAGCTTAATCTCAAAGATGATAGTTAACTGACTCTATATTTTTATCATTAAAACTCTCCCACTCTGCTCTTGAAGTTCTTTATTTTAAAAGGGGGGGGGGACTCTGCTGGAGATACGATCAGATTTTACTTTGCACTTACAGAATACTGCCATAAAAAACCTCCATGAGTTAAATATGCTGCTTCATTATGGTAACATTTTGCTAAAATTAACACATCACTAGGAAGAACATTTCTACACCATAGAGTGATAGTTCTCTTTGATGTAACTTGTCACTTATCACGTGGGCAAGGACAAATCCCATGCTCTTTCTCCCAGGTAAGAGCAAAACTTCAACATGCTTTCAGATACACTGGGCAGAAATGATGATAATGTGGATATATGCACCTGTCTCTCTAATTGCTGTGTAGCATGTATGCATAAATGCTTCTGGTTAGTTAATATTGGCAGGAAGAATGTTTCCTGCATTTGGATCTCCCAAAGACTTTGGTCCCCATATTTACCACCCTAAAATCCAGAGTTAGACAAAAACTATTCCATTTCAGGGGATCATCGTCTTATCAGAAAACCATGGTTCTTTCATCTGTAAAATGAAGTTTATAATTTCTAACTCCTATAGAGAAGTATAGGATCATGTGAGATATATACACTGCATCAATTCTAACACACTGTGACATGGTGATTATTACTTCCCCAAGTCAGTAACCCACGTGCTTGTACCATTTTCTACTACTTGGTTGGTATCCTGATGGTGATCTGAGGTATTTGAGGGTAGAAAGGAGACAGAAAAATTGAAGATGAAAAATTCAGTTCAGTTCAATCACTCAGTCATGTCTGACTCTTTGTGACCCCACAGACTGCAGCATGCCAGGCCTCCCTGTCCATCCCAACTCCTAGAGTCCATCCATCCATTGAGTGGGTGATGCCATCCAACCATCTCATCCTCTGTTGTCCCCTTCTTCTCCTGCCCTCAATCTTTCCCAGCATCAGGGTCTTTTCCAATGAGTCAGCTCTTCACATCAGGTGGCCAGAATATTGGAGTTTCAGCTTCAACATCAGTCCTTCCAATGAACACCCACGACTGACCTCCTTTAGGATGGACTGTTTGGATATCCTTGCAGTCCAAGGGACTCTCAAGAGTCTTCTCCAACACCATAGTTCAAAAGCATCAATTCTTCGGCCCTCAGCTTTCTTTGTAGTCCAACTATCACATCCATACATGACCACTGGAAAAACCATAGCCTTGACTAGACGGACCTTTGTTGGCAAAGTAATGTCTCTGCTATTTAATATGCTGTCTAAGTTGGTCATAACTTTCCTTCAAGGAGTGAATGTCTTTTAATTTCATGTCTGCAGTCACCATCTGCAGTGATTTTGGAGCCTCCAAAAATAAAGTCTGACACTGTTTCCACTGTTTCCCCATCTATTTGCCATGAAGTGATGGGACCAGATACCATGATCTTAGTTTTCTGAATGTTGAGTTTTAAGTCAACTTTTTCACTCTCCTCTTTCACTTTCATCAAGAGGCTCTTTGGTTAAAGATATGTAATAGAAAAAAAAAATTAAAACACCAAATAAAGTCAGCTTAACTCTCCTTTTTCCATCTTTAGTGGGAAAGGTATACAATTATTTTATTTTTTAAGTATAATTAACATACAACATTATATTAGGCTTAAGTATATGACATAATGATTCAATATGTGTATATGCTGTGAAGAATCATGTCCGACTCACAAAGACTCGGACATGACTGAGCAACTGAACTGAACTGATCTGTTGTGAAACGAACACCACAGTAAGTCAAGTTAAATCCATTCAGTTCTTTTCTTATGGAAAGAGAATGTTGTAAATCTGGGAATCAGAGAAAGTGTTAGAAAGGATAATATCTTATATAAAATTCGCTGGAGTCAAATGACAAAGCATTGCTTCCACTGGTCATGTGTGGATATTGAGTTTCTGTGTGGACCTTTCACTGTAACAGTCATCATTTGATAGGATGTTATGTGAACTAGGGGCTTCCCTGGTGGCTCAGAGGGTAAAGAATCTGCCTGCAATGCAGGAAACCCAGGTGCGTTCCCTGGATCAGGAAGATTCCCTGGAGAAGGGAATGGCTACCAACTCCTTTATTCCTGCCTGGAGAATTCCATGGACAAAGAACCTGGTGGGCTACAGTCCATGGGATCACAAAGAGCCGACGATGACTGAGCAACTAACACTATGTGAACCAATGTGGAGGGACCGTGAGATGGGATGAGAATTGGGTTCTCGTTTCTCCCTGCTCTGGACCATGTGGTTTTGCATAAGTCACTGCATTTGTCTAAGTCTCAGGTTCAATTGTGTTGGGGAAAGGGAAGGGACAGGCAAGTCTCTTGAGTTCCTGACGGCCTTCATACTCTTAAGGACAATGGCGCCATTGACATATAGGGACACCCTCTCATCAAACCCACGCTCTCCAAAAGAAATAAACAGTTTTATCTAAATCCAAGGAAAACTGTCCCACCAAACCACAGATACTTTTCATATTTTCAGAAATTGCTTCTTTCACCTTCATAGCCATGGAGCTCTTCTGCCTCCATGACACCCCTAAAAGAGTGACCTCTCTGGGCAATCAGGCACACAGCATGAAACCTATCTCCAGAAAAATGTGCATATATGCGACTGCTGTATTCAAGTCCAGGGGTTTGGGTTATAGCCTCAGTAAGCGGGGTAGATCTGCTTCTGTGCAAAGGACAAAGACTGTTAATACTGCCAGCCAGTTTGACCCTGAACAGGTGTAGCCAGTTTCAAGTGAGGTGCAGGGTTCAGACATAGTCATTAGATTTCATCTGGAAAAAACTGTCTCCAAAACACTTTCTGCATGCCCACTTCCTGAAATTAAAGTTCAAGTAGCAATGCCTTATACTTTTGACCAAACTGGGACCTGGAGAGGATTTTAAATTCAGGAATTTTAATCCATTAACTAAAAGTTCTCAACCCCTGTGTATTAATCAGTTTATTTATTTTTTTGTTTGTTGGGGTAAAAATAAATAATCCAGTTTCCTCTTTTCATGATCATGATGATAATATGTAGCACATATATAATGAACCATCAGAACTAGCTTAGTTACTCTGCACAAGTGACTTAACCTCTCTGTGTCTCCGTTTTCTTATTTGTAAAATGTGATTAAAGATAGTATTGATGTCATACGGTTATTTTGAGGACTGAATGAGATCAAATATAAGCACGGTACACGACTCATAACCGATATGTAAGTGCTGTTGTTGTAGCTTCTGTGGACAGAAGAAACTTTGTTTCCGCAGGGAAATGTTTTATCCAAGAAATGGGTATATTTGAACTAATCGCTGATGAATCCATACTTTTTCAAAGGATGGGAGCTACAGGTTTAGGGAGGTGAAGTATGGCATTCCAAGTGACGGTGGCGATGATATATATATATCATATATATACTTTCATATATATATGAAAGTATAAGCTGTATGCTGACTATGAATAATAGTTAGATTTGGCTGGATCCCACATTTGAGAAGTGAGGAAATGAGATAACACTGGTCACTCTCACTAAAGCCTACAAAAGAAATACATACATATTGGAGAAGGACATGTCAACCCACTCCAGTATTCTTGTCTGGAAAATCCCATAGACAGAGGAGCCTGGCAGGCTACAGTCCATGGGGTCACAGAGTCAGATACCACTGAGCGACTAAACGTGTATGTACATATATGGTCTTCTCTAGTGGCTCAAATGGTAGAGAATCTGACTGCTGGTTCAGGAAGATCCCCCCAGAGAGAGGAGTATCTACCCACTCCAGCATTCTTGCTTGGAGAATTCCATGGAGAGAGGAGGCTGGCAGGCCACAGTCCATGGGTCACAAAGAGTTGGACATGACTGAGTGACTATCACTTACTATGCATATATATGTATATGTATGTATATATGTATATGCATATATACACATATATTTTTAAGCCCCATATGACTAGGGGAGGCAGCCCATCTGTTCTCTGGGCTTCACTTTTTTTTTGTCTCCTAAATAAGGAGGTTGGACTGGATGGTCGTTAAGGTCCCTTCAGTATAATATTCTTTGACTCTAGAAGAGAAAAACAAAGGTTCCTTCTAACATCTTCTTTTGCCTCCCAGTATTCA